CGCGGACTTGTAAAACGCGGACTCAAAATTTGTAAAACGCGGACTCAAAATTTGTAAAACGCGGACTCAAAATTTGTAAAACGCGGACTCAAAATTTGTAAAACGCGGACTCAAAATTTGTAAAACGCGGACTCAAAATTTGTAAAACGCGGACTCAAAATTTGTAAAACGCGGACTCAAAATTTGTAAAACGCGGACTCAAAAATTTGTAAAACGCGGACTAGAAATAAAAATAAATACATAAATAACTAAAATATTTGCTTTATTAAATGAATATATCTCTTCTTATATAAAACGTTCCGAATGAAACGTCAACAGGAACATAATCTGATGTCATAATCATACAGACAACAATTCAATTGCCGGATATTATACTATCCACTTTAAAACATTACTTCAAACAAAAAAAAAACTTAACATGTGATGTCATAATCCCGGCTCACAGACAACAATTCAACTAGACCATAGCGGCAAGCCTTTCGAAAATTACTTGCTTGTGTTCGGGTAGAAGAAAAGGCTGTAGATCCGACGGTATTCTGCATGAATTTGGTTGAAAGGCAGGGGAAGGTTACCCTTATGCAATAAGGGTTAACATGATAATATACCGACGAAATATCTGGAGATGTGTGTTGACGTCCTTTTTTTAAATACTGACGGCGAAGTCGTGTTGTCAAAACGAGGTCATCGGGTGGAGGTGGATTGGTCCCGCCTGGCTTCAGGGTGTCGCCACAGCCATAGCATCGCGTGACTTTACTGTCGAGGAAAGATAATCTGGCAAACACTAAAATTCCTGGTAAGGGCTTTGGACGCTTTGGGGTTGGAGGCTGTCCGTTGGCTTGCTGGTAAGGTTGATTAGATGAGATTGGAGGGACTAGTGGAGTCCGAGGCACGTTGAAACTGTTACCCAGCTGAATGTGAGGCAAAGGCGACACTGGCGGCCAAGGTGGGGTGTTTTGGTCAATTGCAGATGGGCATGAATCATTGACGGGTGCGGATGTAGGCTGCAATACCCGATTGCGAACAATGTTCCTATCAGTTGAGGATTTATTGCTTCCACCTTTCCGCTTCCTTGTTCCGGTTTTTTGACCAGCATTGTTAGGCATGTTCACGTTTGCAAGGCCTGACAGATTAGGAGAACGCTTTCTGCTTTTGAACCATTTAAGGAACTCCTTTAAAGCCCCCTCTTTCTCCGCTACTGCTAGGGTGTGTGAACACAAACTGTACGTGGACCAGCTTACACACCCTTTATCACACTGCACCTTGCCAGTTTTGGGATAAACAAGGACAGTGTGAGGCTCACGTGATGTTTGGCTGTGAACCATGTATCTGATTGGGCATGAGGGGTCACCTCCTTCACCAGTTGGCACTTTCCACAGCGCGGACGGATCTTCCACTGTCGTAGCAGCCTTGCTGAACATCCCCTTTAGCACTGGGTAGGGAATATCAATAATCTGGGCATTTTCAGCAGTTATGGATAACGTTGTATCTGTGGCGGCTCCTTGTTCTTCTGAATCTTCGTTTCGTAACCTTGACATGGATGATGAGAAGAATTTCTTCTTCAGGGCGTCCTTCTGCTTGTGACTCATTCTATAGAAGCCCTTCTCGTCGATCCCAAGGAAGGAGAAATCTTCAGTTAATCGGTATTCCCTCGACCAATGACTGCGAGGAACTGCTCGTCTTGTTGCCTCTTAACTTCGCCTCTTATTCGCTCTATGGAAGGGGAAGCCCGTCTGGTTTCTTTGCAAGCTTGGCATCTTCGTCCGCTTTCACTAATCTGTTCATACTTTCACTTGCGTTTTGTGTATATACCTTGGGCGGAAACCCAAGGCCACACATCGAGCGAATGTCGGCCGTTGCACTTTCCCGAATAACTTCCGCGTTCTCTTTTAAAAATACGTTGTAAATTGATCACCATTCTTGTGCAAGCCTGGCCATTTTCGTTTAACATTGTTCAATGCAATGTCGAACTCGGCACCTGAAGTGCAGTCAACTAGTCCACCCTCAGTCACTTCTCCAAGTACCTTTCCAAAAATATCACAGACAATTTCGTCGGCCACACTTCCTGATATTCCAAGCTCACTCAGTTTTCGTTTGACATTGTCCCTCAGGTGAATGTCACAACGCAAATGCTTTGCGTCTACAAAGACTTGCGACATGGCCTTAAAGAGGTTTTCCTCTCCATCTGTTCCGTAGGCTAGAACACCACTAGTGTCTTTGTTGTACTTTGTCATTAGGAGAGGCAAAGTCTTGTATGATGTTAGAAGCTTTTGTTTGTGCAAAATGCCGGGTCCTATGCAGACAGGGTGGACTCCCTTGTTAGTAGTTAACATCAGGTTGCGATAGGTGGTAAAGGTGTAGTAATAGTCGGCAATCTGAAAAGTACAGTCTACTCCCAAGATGCAGAACGCTTCAGGATTGGTGCAGAATCGCACTACATCAGTTAACTGCTGGTCGGTGGCGAGAAAAACTATCGGCTCTGGGAACAAGGGGATTTCTCTGATAAAGAGGTTTTCTCTCAATCCTTGCTGTTCTTCCTTCGCCTTTGCCAACACCTGTAGAAGGGGATCGCCAGTGGAAAGGGGTACATCAACCTTCTGGCGCTTCGCTTGTCTGTTGATGTTGTACACCTGATCCCTGTTTCTTGGAAATTCGCCTGCAGACTCGACTTGCATGATTCCCCCTCGTTCTTCGACAACCGAGTGAATGACTCGACGAGGGGGATGTTCTTTTAACTTGTCTTGCACAAATTCTCGGGTGCTCTGCATGGTTCTTTTAAAAGGACGTGGTGTTGATCCTTTAGAGTTCCCATGGCTCTTGATGTTGACTTCTTGTTCGCCGTCTGTAAACATATATTGAACAATTGCCAAATCGTGAGGCGATGTTGATGTAGCCCGATGTGCAGAGATTATCGACTTTCGCAAGGAGGGTAAGCTTTTATTAGTGAAAAACTGGCGTTGCACTATATGCAACACGTGGTCAGGTGGGCAGTCATCTTTGTCCTCTAATCTGTGACAAATTCCAGAGTTGTCTGTGGAATACGGAAACTTCTTTGAGCCTGTACACAACCAAGCGCCAAGGTCGTCGCACTTTACATCAGCTTTATTTGACAGATTCGACGTGTCCACAACAAAGACAGTGTTTTTAGATATATTTGTTGGGACACGCGTCGCCATTAATGTGCGATCAGCAAAGGGTTTTAAAAGAATTTCAGCCGCATCATCAGTATTCATCCCTTTGGTTAGGCCCCACTTGTAGACTGGTAGACGTTGGTCTCCGTCATAGAATTTTATGTCCGCGATAGGGCCAAGAGGCAACTCCTCCTCGTCACTTTCGTTTCTCTCACATTCCGCGGGTACTTCTTCAGTACCTGAAAATTACAATAAAAAGTTATATACTGTATTATTACAATTTTAAATAAAAATAAAATACAGGCAAGCCACCAACATATGTATGAATACATGCATGTATGCAGAAAAGAACGAAAATTAGAAAAAAATTACTACTTCACTCCTTTTCCCAAAGTTGGCGCGGGTATATAATGAGCGTAGAATGATCCACATTTCTACGATTTTGTTGTCTAGTAAAATTAAAAAAGCTAGGTTCTTGGAAACTCAACATCATAGTACATTCATCCACGCGCTCGAGAGATTCAAGGAGAATGTCTTCAGAGGTAGACATAGGAGTCCACAAAGGTTAACCACCAAGTTCACTTACGCCCAGGTGCGCAGGTTGTTTGTAGAAAGGGTGAAAAACAATGTGTACCTTATATTTGATTATTTAAAACAATTTAAATTTGGATATACACTGTACCTTTACGCGTACTCTCAGATGACTTGTCTACACCTCCAATGTCTCCTTTTGGATAAATATGTTTTACTTTCTGAAATTAAACAAACCACATTTATTAGGTTGTCCTTAGGTATATACAATCAAACACTTAACGTTCGATTGTGTTCGATAACTCAATAGATTATCTGTGATTGCGTTTGGTAACTCCTTGGAATATCTAACTCAATAGAACATTTGATAATTATAGAACATAGGCAGTCAAACTTGTTAAAACGTTAACTTGCCGAAAAAAAATCGAAACTGCATGCTTTGGTTCGGTGTCATTAAACTTTGTTAGCGATGTCTGTTTAGTGTATAAGACGTTATAAGAGAAGAAACGCACTGGATGCGGTAATTTACAATCATTGTCTACGTAGTATTTTAATGATTCTGCCTTTATTATTGTGCTGATACTGCGAGAGCTTTTTCCCTTTTTCAGTCTGTGCACTTACTGTAGGCAAAGGTTCCTCATCGCTTGTTGCTTCAAGATCAATCACGATAGTGCCGCGCTCCTCATTGTCAACATTTTGGCCACAAACTGTAACATCGGCATCTCCATTGTTAACAGCAGCAAATTCATGTTGGTCATCTGTCACTTGTTTTCTTCCTTGTTTCGACATTTTCGTTCCTAGAGGGTGATCTCCAGTTCCTTCAAAAAGAAATGTATGTTTCCGTTTTTTTGTTTTTTTGTCAGTGGTTTATCGCTAAAAAATATAATTTTCAATTTTGAATCCAATAAAAGCTTTGCTTTGTTACGGTAATACAGACATACCGAAGAGAAATACTTAGATATTTGTACATTAGGTTACTACGACTCGCTCGAAATCTTGCAAAGCCGCGATAACCTCACTTTCTCTAGCTCTGAAATAGGCCTGTTTGGCAATTAGTTGAATAATAAAACGGTTTTCCTACTCGATCGTGCTCGATCGTGCGCAATATCTTCTAATTTTAAGCAACTCGACCTATTAGTTTTAATTATAAAGAATCTATCTTTAATCAATGGCGGATCCAGATTGCGGCCCGTTTAGGCCACTTCTCAAGATGCACCATTGCTTGCAATAGTATTCTGAATGTCGGGTTGCACTATATTACAATCAGCAGGTTATTGTGCAATTTTTACCCAACCCAAACATCCTCATTGTAAAGCAGTTTTTTAAACAAAGTTTAAATGTCTAACCTGAAATTGGTGTTAGCCAAGCCAAACTCTGAAGTTCCTTTTCCGATGCCCCCGCTTTGAGTAGTCGGTTCAGAATCCATTGGACAAGTAGTTTACAGGATCGAGGACTGCAGTCTGGTGTCAATAACAAAAGACCATTGCAGTTCCCTCCAAGATCTTCAGAAACAGGATGAGTGTCAACCAAGAACAGAGCATCTTTGTGCTTTCCCACTGAGAATATGTAAGGGTGACATGTGTAAATGGCAACGGCGCTTTCACTCTGATCTAGCTTCTGTGTTAGTGCATTGATCAGCTCGGTTCTGCCATTATCTGAAAACACGGTGTTTGACGAGATGCACTCTTCTGATAGTTCATAGTCGGAAGACAAGATCTTAAGTTCCTTCAGTTTTAGTTTTGCTTCAGACACGTCATAATACTGATCAAATTTTCGGTGTTCGTTGATCATTCTTGGTAGATTAATGATAGTGTCCTCAGCGATTTGTTTGACGTCATCCCACTGAACATCGCTTTTCTCGTTAACCTTAAAGTAATAATAATTATATTAACTGGAGAATTATACAGATGCATATTGAATGAATGAATGAATGAATGAATGAATGGATACAGTTGTGAACCGATATTCGATTAACAAACTAACTTACATTAACCAAATGTAGAACTGAAAGACCGCGATCCAGCTTTTTCCCCATATTCCTTGTAAATTATAATAAGCAGTAGTGTTTAACTTTTCTAATCAATTATTGTAAACCCAGTCCCCCTCAAAATTGGAATTTTCTATATATTTTGTATTGTAACAACATTTTAATTCTGAATCAGTGAGCTGCGAGAATGTGAGAAATAAACATATTTAATATTATTATTACTATTATTATTATTATTTAATTGTAAGCATTTTATAGAGTTGAGAATAAAATAATTATTTTTAAAAAAAAAAATATTATTATTATTATTATTATTATTATTATTATTATTATTATTATTCGCGTCTAATTTTACCTCGTTCAAGAATCTGTCGCAAATGGTTAGGGCAAGGAACGCACAGCAGTTGGTACCGTCATCCTGTGGTGTCTGGGCAGAGCTCTGATTCACAGACAAATTCATCAAACGTAGAGATGCCTCCGGTTGATTAGTATCTAGGAGCCTAAGAACTTCAGCGGCAGTCGGTCTTGATTCTGGGTCAAATTGTGTGCATAATTTGAAGACGTCGTCAATTTGCCACCACTGAGTTGTCCGGAAAGACTCGTATTTGACGTCAGGACGGGGTAGCTTCTGCTGTCTCAAGGTATTTCTCAAAGCCTTTTCCGAGAATGGGACACCAGAAGCTTCAAATTCAGCACGATATGGATTAGAAAGATTTGGATTTATCATCGAGAACATCATGAGGCCTAAAGCCCAAATATCAGCCTTTTTAAGGTCCTCCTGACCAGCGAACTTTAGATCTTCTAATAGGATCTCTGGTGCCATAAATACAGGTGTGCCACGGCAAGGTGATTCCGTCTTCGGCTTTAAAAATGTGCTTGTCTGCATGTCAGGGGAACGACTCAAACCAAAATCTGCAAGTTTGCAGACAATGGGGCATTCAGCATAGGATTTGGCCAGATCCACATCATTCTGTTTGCTGTAATGTTGATTGCAGACCAAGGTGTTCCCTGGCTTTAGATCTCTGTGCGCGATATTGTTCTTGTGGAGAAAGTCCAATCCGGAAACAACGTCCCGCGCACACAGTAACAAGACATCTGCGAACGACGTAAAGTCGAATTCCGCATCAACGAAATGTAAAAAATCTTCAAGCGAATTTACCTGTTTTTTAACTCCCAACGGATTGAAGTCAAAACAAGCATGCTCCATCATTATGGCGTAGGGTTCTCGGCAAAATCTTAAAAACTCAGTCACATTTCTATGGCCTTTCACGGTTTTTAGGATCGCCGCTTCCTTCTCGAATCGACGTCTTGCTTCAGCCGATTCACCTTTCATTTTTTTCACAATAACATTTCGACGGTGTTCTTTCTCGTATTTGACAAGGTAAACTGAACCAAACGTACCGCTTCCGAGCTCCTTCTCTACAGTTACCTCACTCCATTCGAACTCAGGAAACTGTGTTTTTGGTTTTGGCCTTTTAGCGAGCGATGGAAGCTTAAAACAAGCCGCCATCTTCGCGCCGCCACGTGAAAATATATTCCGAATTTTGGCGCGATTTTACTGCTCAAAGGTCAACAAAGGTCAACAGCCTCGTTTCCGTTGTCGATGTCACTTAATCCAGTGTCACGTAATGACAATAAAAATTCAAAATCTTATGCTTCAGGTGTGGAGGCTGGGAAAAAGGCTAAAATAAAATATAATATGAAGGAGTGAATGCTGCGTGCGTCAGGAGCCCATAAATAATAGGCTCTTGGTGCGTGTAATAATGCGTGACAAATTTTGGCCTTCCCTTAACTGGGGCTCCTTCGGTACCTTTTCGGGCCTGTAAAACTGTTTTGGGCTTGCTCAATTGCATTTAAGATATCGATGGTGTGTTAGTTTTGAAAGTAACACAACAAACTATAACCTAGTCCCGAAACAAAATAGACTGGTTTGCAAGCTACGACCCCCGAGCTACAACCCAGCGGGGGATGTGTACTGAAACGTTCATGACGGGGGTCTGACTTTATTTCTTTTATTTTATTTTTTTTTTTAGGGGATTAGAAATGTGGGGTTAGAAATGTGGACTCCCGGAATTTTTTACAAATTTTGAGTCCGCGTTTTACAAATTTTTGAGTCCGCGTTTTACAAATTTTTGAGTCCGCGTTTTACAAATTTTGAGTCCGCGTTTTACAAATTTTGAGTCCGCGTTTTACAAATTTTGAGTCCGCGTTTTACAAATTTTGAGTCCGCGTTTTACAAGTCCGCGTTTTACTAGTCCAGTCCAGTCCAGTCCAGTCCAGTCCGCGAAATACAGTATGCCGACTGGCCGTACTGCGCTTCCCCGAATACGCAGATCATGGCGGGCCGTATTGTCCAGCACGTAGAGTATTTAGTTGTATTTTACGTGTTAAGAACGGCAGTGTATATTTGAAACAGAATCGCAAGATGTACGCATTTTATCCTTTTTTTGGTCATCCTTGGAAATTTCTGAAGGCTCATTTTTCGATTATGAGCCCAAATTTCGGTGTCAAGCACGACACCCGAGTGAAAAATACATCACAATTATTCACCGAAGCGGAGGTGGCTAGTGGTGGAAATTTACTGAGGCCGCGTTAGCCACCACTAGCCACCGACACTGAGGTGAATAATTGTTTTAGTATATACTAAAACAGTGAGATAATTGAGCACAAAAATGATGATTTTTTAACTCATTTACTGTTGCCTGCAACGATTACAATTTTGGCGCACAATGACCGAACGGCCGCGGTCGTCGCCTTTTCTGCCGACAAATAAAACTTTTGAAGGCATTTGTTTAGCTCTTGCACGGAAATTTCCTCAAAAGGAGTTGTGAATTCTTTTGCTATTTAAAATCATCCTGTAAAAAAGATTATTTAATTTAGTTTTGAGCTTATTTATGAACAAGTCAACTAAAAAAAGTAACGCAAGACTTGAGCTTAATTTGCATTTGTAAACAACAAACTTTTTCGCCGGTTTTATCGATAAATTCATGTCAAAAAGACAAAACTTTACCTGTTAAAACTTCCACCCCGAACTTCGTCACCTTCTTCGTGTATTTCGGGAACAGTTTGCTTGATTAGTTGTGAAATTTCTTTGTTTGTTTCGTCAGCAAACCGGGAAGGCATTTTGCTCGCAACCGATGCGAGTTTGGCGTCGCTCGCTCGGGGGGACTGGAGGTGAATCAGTGAATAGTGCAAGGATATTCACTGATTGAGTAGCCAATCAGAGCGCGCGAAAAAACACTATCCATTGTTTTGGTATGTACTATTTCATAAGGGATATCATATCACAGACTGATAAAACATAAGCAAGCCCTGAATTTGCCCATGTGTCGACCTTTTTTATGAATGTTCTTTTTTTAACATTTCCTTGCCGGGGGGGGTGGGGGCACTGCAAGGTTTCAACCTTAGAAGAGGGTGTCGGAATGGGGTTAACCGACTAGCGACAAAGGGCGAAAAATATTACTGACTACCGACAAAACGAGTAAAAAATTACCGACTACCGACAGGAAAAATATTAACCGACTACCGACATGGGCTGATATTATCAATATTTGTTTCCAGAAAAAAGAGCAATTTGTATTTATTCTAACCGTTAGCTCGAGGACGTAACCTCTTTAAATTTATGACTCATCAGATGGCCTAAGGGAAAGAATTTCCTTTTTTTGTTCTTGATGCAGGTACATTGCTACAGCCAATATCAAAATCACAAAGTCACACCTTAAAGATGCTACCGACTTTATAAATTTTATCGAAAAGTCAAAGGTGAAAAAACCGAACGTTTCTTGCTTAGATTAATCCTCAAAGAAAATTCCTTCCCGTTTAATGTAAAGCACTATCAGTTCAAACCCACGGTACCGCGATGAGCACAAAGGCAGTAGTTTCCTTTCCAACATTTTCATGGCACATATTGAAACACAAAGTTTAAGCAAAACCGTCTTTAAACCAACTGTTTGAAAACGCTACCTAGATGACATCTTTTCCCTATGGGACATAAGTAAACGAGACATCGTAGCTTTCTTCGCGGAACAAGTAATTTTACATGCCCTCCTATGAAATTCACGGCCGAAATATCTGAAAATGAGACATTCTTATTAGAAACGGTTGTATACAAAGGTACAACATTCAGCGAAAAAATGAGAAAAAGCTATCCTTGACGTAAAGACGCATTTGAAACGGAAACCTTACGGTGTATACAATTTCACTTCTTATCACATACCAATTGTTAAAGCGTCTGTTTGACAAATGAGAAGCCTTGAGAATCCTACGAACAAACTCCTCGTGGAAGTATTTCCGATTTCAAAAGCGCTTGATGGACAGAGGCTAGCCACACAATTTTGAAAGAAAAATTGCTATTAGAAGTAAAACTCACAGAAAGGAGGGCAGCGCTCCTGAAATAAAACAACCAGGAAGAAAAATACTGAAATATTGCCTTTCGTGACATAATACCAGCCCTTAGTGTCTATAAAAAAGAAGCTTTAATGAAAAAGTGGAATCTCATACAAAACCAACCACTACCTTGCTAAAATTTTAAAGAACCACCTAAAGTGCTATTTCTTTGAGCAAGGAAAATTATGGCAAAGGACATGCTTGTTAAAACCAAAACATAAGAGGGATAGATGTGCAGCCTGTCACCCCTAGCCTCCCACGCAGGCATTTTTAGGGGAGCTCGTATTTCTTCCCTCCCCACAAACGCCTGCTCAACAGAGGACAACATTCCTTTCCCACGCTTAGCCAATCACGTTGTACTTTCCAAATTCTGGAACGTTGACCTTGACCGCAGGGTAACCCGATAATCACGCGATCTGCATGAACCTTCATGACCTCTAATAAATGTTAGTCTCAGAGCGGCAAAAGTAAGATTTACTCAGTCAGATTTTAGAATTCTCTGTGCACTGCATAACCTTAGCGAACGAAAGAAAAGAAGGAAAAAGGTAACTCTCGGGTCACGTTCTGGGTCACGTTTTTTCACTATCACGAGCTTATGAGTCATGTTTAGCCTGTCAACACTTTATTTAAAAACCGTTGATTGGTCACTTACCACGTGAATGTAACAATGGGAAAGGAATGTTGTCCTCTGTTGAGCAGGCGTTTGTGGGGAGGGAAGAAATACGAGCTCCCCTAAAAACGCCCGCGTGGGAGGCTATGTCACCCCTTGCAGTTTTTCACTATCCATCAATTAATTACTTAATTACTTTTTACTGTGCCCTGTAGTCGACAGGGAAACCAAGTTCGCATTTACAATAAAAGCTTTGGTGATGTTATCAGTACTAAATTCATTTAATGGCAAACAATGATGAAATAAACGATCAAGTTGCGTAAAAAAACGAGAGTTAATGCACGGTTTAGGCACAATCAAATGATGCATTCTTGCAAGTATTGCTCTTTCCTTAGGGATCAAAGTCTTGAAAAGTGGGTGAAATACATAAAAAATATTAATAATCAACAAGCGTTTTTACTTATTAACTGAGATTTTCCGACAACCGACTACCGACAAAATTACTGAGTTTTAACCGACAACCGACAAGTGGACCCCCCATTCTGACCCTCTTAGAAGAGTTCGCCAACCTTTGACAAAATATTAAAGCGAGTTGGAAAAATCGCGATAAACAATAAAAGAACGCGAATACATCTTCAAGCGACGTTTTCACCGCTATAGCAGTCCTGGTATCTTCAATTCCCTGACTTGAGGCATTGACTGGTGGCGAAACAAAAATTGGTCCGGTCACCGTACTAAAACCTTCCGCGGTCTTTGCTGAAAGTCCCTACTTATTACATGTAATAACTAATACAGCTATGCCTAGGAGTCTCCCGCCTCCTCACCCCCCCCCCGAACAAAGTTGAAGTTCATACACTTAAAAAAAAAAATTCAAACGTTTTTGGCCAGTAACGCCCAACACTGTTCGGGGGAGTGAGGGTAAAGGTATGATTAAGTGTCTAAGTGTGGATAAGTGTCCCAGATGTTTTGATCACGACTGTTGATTGTGTAAAGTAGACCTGTTAGAAAAATGAAGCGTTCAACTTACTTTTGTTGTACTAATAATATTTACATATGATTATAAAATCCAGAACTAATAAACATAACTAATAATCATTTTCTACTATTTTCTGTGGGAAGCCTAATCAATGCTGCGATAGTCTAGGGTCTGGCTTGAAGAAACAAAACCTATTTTTGAATGAATGATGATCATCGCTGTTATACGCAACCCACGCAACTGCGAAAAGAAAGTCAACTCTAGCTTCCCACAGAAAATCGTAGAAAATGATTATTAGTTATGTATATTAGTTCTGGATTTTATAATGTAAATATTATTAGTACAACAAAAGTAAGTTGAACGATTCATTTTTTTAACAGGGCTACTTTGCACAATCGACAGTCCCGATCAAAACGTTTGGGACACTTATTCACACTCAGACACTTAATCATACCTTTACCTTTATCCCCATCCCCCAGACAGTGTTGGTCGTTACTGGCCAAAAACGTTTGAAGGCTTTCTTTTCGCAACTGCGTGG